TTTAAGTGGTGAGGATGCCCCCTCTGGCCAGATCCTGGCTTGTAGAATAGAAAAGGGATCAAAGCGGCCGAGATGGGGCTGGGGGGTAGCTTTGTATGCATCAGGGAAGTCTGAATACACCAAGTCCAGTATGTTCTCTCCTCTGGTTTTAAAGTCCACAAATTGCTTGAACTTGGGGAGCACAGACTTTAAACTGGTGCGGTTAAAATCCCCTGCAACCACTATAAAGCTGTCTGGGTGTTTAGTTAAAAGTTCGCTGATGGCGTGGTTGGTTTATTTCCAATGTTTTAATTAGTTTTCTAGAAACTAAGTTTTAGATTGGAAGTTCTTTCAGTTTCCAGAAGAAAACAACGATTTCCATCCATAACACAATGTTCTTCTTCAACATTCTTCTATCAAAAACTGAAAAACGCAATTTTATTTCTCAGAATTGAAGGAGATGTAATGTAGTCTTTACAACATTCTAAAAACATTTTCCTAATGTTGCAGTAAGAATGTTCCTCTGTTGTTATTATGCAACATTATAAGAGTGTTTTAAAAATAACGTAATATAATATGAGGCCATCATTAAAACATTTTCCAGATATTACTTTGGAAATGTTCTTCATGTGATGTCATTTAAGATTGTGGGAACATTTTATGAAATAACATTCTGTAATCTGTTACCTAAACACTGTCCCCATAATATCCTCCCAATGTTATAGGCAAAACATTCTTCCTTTGTTTACATATCACATTACAGAAACGTTCGGTAAAAAGCTTTTGTGATCTCTGGCATCGATAACATCCCGAGAACATTTTCAAAATGTTGCAGTAAAAATGTTCCTCCTTTATTATCATGTAACATTGTAAGAATGTTTTTAAAAGAACATAATGTAATCTGAGCCCCTTATAACATCCTCAGAACATTTTCTGAATGTTTCGTTGAGAATGCCATTTTCCTTTCACATCATAAGAATGTTTAATAGAACATTCTATAATCATTAACACAACAACATCCCCAAAACGTCCTCAGAATGCTGAAGGCAAATGTTCCACCTTTGTTAACATGTCACATACCAGGAATGTTTTAGAAAAAAACATTGTGTCATCTGAGGCATCAATAACATCCTGGAAACATTTTCAAAATGTGGTTTTAAGAATAACAATGTAATATGAGGCTTTAACAGTATTCTGAAAATATTTTCAGAATGTTTCTTAGAGAATGTCCCTTCTTTGTTATCATGTAACATTGTGGTGATGTTTTATAGAGGAACATTCCATGATCGCTTATCTCAACAACATACCCAAAACATCTTTAGAACGTTGCACCTCGAACATTCCATCTTGTTAACATACAACAACATAGGAACATTATTTGAAATACTTAATGTTATTATAATATTCTTTGAAAATTACATTCAAATGTTGTTGTTTTTTTTTAACTTTAAATGTTAGCCAAAGTTGTGGGAACATTCGCTGCTAGCTGGGGAGGCACTTAGAGAAAATGAGAGGCTAAAGCTTTGATTGTGTCATCCCCTGCAGGATCGTCTGTGAAGTTAAAGCTGCATTTGGCCAGACAATGCTGGTCTACAAGATGTAAGACAACACACTGAAAAGAAACGATACAGTGGTTTTATTCTAAAGCCCTTTTTAAATGTAGGACATATAACAATGCTTTAACATCAAGCTGTTAAAGTGATGGCATTTTGGCATTCAAACATAGGTCACTTTTACATAAAAGTCTCATGTCTCTATTCGGACACTCCCTTGACGTAGAGGGAGACATGACATGTGCACAATATTTGTCATTAACACAAGTTTGGACGGTACATCAAGTGATGTGTAACACAAAATATCGTACAAATTTAAAAAAAAAAAAAGAAAAGGCTAAATCTAAACTAACGGTAGCTTATCAATCTGTCCAGATAACTAATAGCCTAATATACTTATCTCCTAAACACTGAAATTACTACTACCCACTGGATTATGTTTATTATTAGTGACTCTCGTTAATCTGACCTGTTCTGTCTTCATCGCAGTGAACTTTATTTTTAATGGATATTTCAGTGTGTAACAGAGAAATTGTGAATGTGAAATGTTTTGTGATTTTGGCATCAAACTGTGTCTCTCGCTCTCTGTGATGTTTTCGAACCAATATTGGTAGTGAAATGTGGAGGTCTTCCCCGAGTCCCTTCACACAACTCCAAGTATGTGGCTTGTGCGTGCCTTTCTATTAATGTGACTGCATGCATTTCATTTTCATTTGTACTTTGTTGATACGTAGATGTTACAAAGTCTGACCTAGTGAGATTACCATCATGACATCATGACACATTTCAACATGAGGTCAACACTTTTAGATCAGTGGAAAGGTGTGCATGTCTGAGAAAGGGTACATTTGTGCAGTGGATGAAGAAAAAAAAAAAAAAAAGTATAGTGTGCAGGTGTCTTTATATTGCGATCATTAAAAAAAAGTCTTTCCATGCACACCGTTTGTTATTTTGTAAATATCTTACCCTGGAATAGAAACCCTTGTGTTTAGGTGTCTTGAGATAACTGGTAAGTGAGACACAGATCAGTTTGTGCAGCTTTGGTTAAAATTGTCCGTTTCTGGAGAATGTGGACTGTCCACAGGAGGCTTCCAGCAGCGGCGCCCAGTCCCTCCCTGTCTGAACGGCGCAAACCGCAGCCATCTCTTCACCACATCAGCGTACTGGTGATGGGTGGCCTCCTTACCCACCGGCGTTCGCTTCAGAGCGCCTGAGAAGTAGAGCAGAGGTTGGAAATTACTGCAGTGCTACTTACAATATTGAAATAAAACCTAAAAGAAAACATACGTCAAAGTTTGAAATTCAGTGCTAGAAAACGTCTGTGCACTCTTCCCCATTTTTAAAAACAAAAAAAAAAGCTACTGGCCAATGTTTTGATCAATCTTTTATGTATAGCAATGTGAAATATATTCCATGGAAATTAGATTGTTTACTATTTCTACCCATGAATACTTACTAGGCATTACTACTCAGCAATTTTCCTGAGGTTTCCACCACAGGGATCAATAAAGTTCTATTCTATTCCACTACAAAATTACATGAGTAGTCAGGACTTATGGTTTGTACCACACACACACACACTATTTTATTTTGATCTCAATTGCACACCTATAAAGTATTGTGAATCTTGCACATTTTCATGCCGACACAAACAAACACCGTTTATGCTCCAGTAGGAGTTCATAGGACCACAGTGTGACATGATGACACACACACACCACTATCATGGTTATTATGCGAAATGGTTGGCAGGGTGTGTGTGAGACTCCTCTCCAGCAGTGACATTAAACTACAGTGAAAGTCCTTTAGTGTAGATAATGGATGATCAGGTATGGTGATGCTTCACTTATTCTGGAGTCACTTGTACAGGTTTAACTACGGGTCTGTCAAACGGATGCAGTATTAACCCAAGACTTTAACTCCACTGAGTGATTCTGAAAATATATAAAAAGCCAAACATACAACACTATTTACAAAATTCTTTAAGATGCTCTTTACAAGTGCTGGAAGCATCTACAGCAACAACAAAGTAAAACTGTTAAAAAGCATTCAGTGAACGGAAATTTCTTTTAATTTAAATTTTGGAAAATTATGTAGCAGCATAAATTAGTGTACTCTGCCACAACATAGACTCTGCTCGTGCAGTCAGTCACACATGCAGCCATGCTCTGTTCTTGTGCTGTTCCTTTAGTATTCTGTGTAGACTAACTCTTAGTTTCACTTGTGCCAGTGTTTCTACAGAGCTTCCAGCTTTGGTTTCAGCACCTCCTGTCACATCTGGCCTTCTTATCGCCTGTCTTCCAGCTCTCTGGATTCCCAGTAACCACCCCAGACCTCAGTCCCAAATTCCCAGGGTACTATCCAGCCATAGCCCCTGTTTTTCTGCTTCGATAACACAAACTCTGTTTAGCTGCTCCTCTGCCCCTGGCTCTTTCATTTAAGATTGTGGGAACATTTTATGACATAACATTCTGTAATCTGTTATCTAAACATTGTCCCCATAACATTGTCCCAATGTTATAGGCAAAACATTCTTCCTTTGTTTACATATCACATTACAGAAACGTTCTGTGAAAAACATTTTGTGATCTGGGGCATCGATAACATCCTGAGAACATTTTCAAAATGTTGCAGTAAGAATGTTCCTCCTTCATTATCATGTAACATTGCAAGAATGTTTTTAAAATAACATAATGTAATCTGAGCCCCTTATAACATCCTTAAAACACTTTCTGAATGTTGTTTTCCTGTAACGTCGTGAGAATGTTAAATGGAAGAACATTCTATAATCATTAACACATCAACATCCCCAAAACGTTCTCAGAATGCTGAAGGCCAATGTTCCACCTTTGTTAACATGCCACATAACCGGAATGTAATGGAATATCACCAGGCTTATCCTTTTTGGGGTAGCAGATTGAATGTCCTGTATGGGATTAATGAAATCTTATCTTGCATTTTGCAGTTTTATACAGGATGCATACTTACAAAAGAGCACCCCTTGGAGGCGGGTGTTTTTGAAGCTCCTTTTCTGTCCACGACCCACCCAGTTCAACTCAGAACCAACAGCAAATGAAAGCACAGCTTTCATGAGACGTCTCACAGCATCATCGACTGTAGCTCCGCCCAACCGCGAAAGGTAAGACACCTAGAAATTGTACGAGGTATTAACATCTGTTTTCTGTTACACATCAATCAACAGGTCTCTAGTAGTCAACACAGTTTAAACTACCATTCTCTTCTGCGTCCCCGGGTCCTCCAGCTGTGTCTCCATCGCATCCAGCTGCTCGAGGGTCCTCACAGGGAGATCCATGTCCAGAGCCTCCACATTCTCTTCACTGTAGGTGGTGTGACCCTGCAGTCGGGCTTGAATATTCCTCAGCACTGCCCGCTGCCTCAGCTGTTCCTCTTTGATTTCCACCAGCAGGGCGATGATCTTTCGCTGAGCAGTAGTCTCTGAAGAAGAGGAGGGAGGAAGGACTCTGAACGTGGCAAGATTCATGTAAGGTGAAGCAATCTGGCTAGTGCCACATATAACCTACAAGAGGACACAGTCGTGATGTTTATGTGACATATGCTTGCTGCCACTTGCAACAATTATTTTCCATTTCTATCAGCTACGTTTTAGAATAATGTCAACAATGATTTTTTTTTTCTCCAAACATTTAAATGACCGTTTGATTTTGGTTAATTGTATTTTAACCAACAGTATGTCACTGCCGACTGTAGCACAGCACAAAATGGAAGCAAAGGTTTGGTTAATAAAGGGCGAAACTTTAGAGTTTTAACTGGCAGCTCCAACGTGATCAATATAAATACAAAAGCACGCTCATGTAAATCTGCAGTTCGGTAAAAATCTGCCGTATTTTAGAGCTTTTTAGCCAGGTTTAGAGGTTTAAATTAATTAATGTGATGGTGATGAATACAGTAGCTCGCACTAAGAAAGTGTTTACCACAAGAAAAGCCTAACTAACATGTACTTGCGTGCAAAAGAAATATGGTAGCTGACGTAATGCAGAGTGGATGCATCCATCCCAGACAGAGATCCCCATACAGTTAGTGAAATGTCCAGAGGCTAAATTCTTTTAAACAGTTCAAGCAAAAATCAGGATGCCTCTTGCACCAACATACACTGTTTTGTAAGACGCCTCTTTTCCCCAAATCACCACAGCGGAGATGGAGAGTGCAAAATCAGTGGCCCATAGAAACACAATAGACGACTGGATGGAAGTTAAAATGAGCTGGAATGATCCTTTATGGAATGGTGGCACGATGGTGACCACTTCTTCCCTGAAACAGTCTCAGGTGTCCTGCATGATTCTGGCCACGATCCTCTACAAACCTCAGAGACACATTTCCTTCCACAGACACTGCCCTCCATCAGAAGCATAACTACAGTGAAATGGAAGGAATTGTCACTCTGATCAGCTGTCCTCCAAGTGTGTAGGGCTATCTGACAGCTGGGGATGAGCGATCAGTCATTGTTATTGTATGCAATCATGGATCGTTTACAGTTTATTAATCTATTCAGCTTAATTGATTTAAGATGCTATTATAGCATTAAATTTTACAGTCACAAAGAGTCGACTGTTAGTTTAAGTACATGCTTTTAATGCTGTACTGAGTTCCAAATGACATGACAGAGAACTACTTTGATTCCTTTTCATAATATTGGTTTCAATAAGCATAATGAAAATTGGACATAAATCAGTTAATAGAAGTAACACAAACAGCTCAACAAGACATTTTACCACAACTGCTGCACACTGACAACACTGTTTTCAGTTAGCTGCTCAAAATGACGAACTCACGCCTCGCATCAAGTTCACTGAAGCCAAGGATAACTTTAACTTTCTTATCACTCTTCAAATTCCAACACAAATTCCTTGGAAGCGTAAACTCACTTGGCAATGCAGACCACTGAGAGTTCCGACAGACCATTTAGACAAATTGAACTACTTGTAGTTTTCCGCAGTAGTCGAAAAGCTAACCGTGTACCTGGGGATGAAGCAGCCGCTCCGGAGCCGCAGGAGAGCGACGGCTCCACGCCGAAGCTGACGTCCCCTCGCCGCGGCTCGTCTTTGAACTCCTCCCCTGAGCGTCTGGAGACATGTTGGGCCAGACTGTGCATCTCGTCGGACACCGCGGACAGCCGTTGCTGCAGGGCTTCCAGAGCGATGTCTGCCATGTGTTTGTTCACCAAGCCGTCCACTCGCTGCTCCGTCGACCAGTCGTGGTGAACGTTATCTCCATTACCGTGCTCCATTGAAGTTTTCTCAAACTGCGAACCGTCGAAACGTTCCGGGAAACCGTTATGAACCTTACATTAACGTTCTAGGCGCGGAGATGAAGCGGAAGTTCTTTTCAGACAGAAATTTCCAGCGCATGACATCACGTTGTACAAACGTCACTGAAATGTTGAAAGAACATTGGGGGCGGGTAAAAACACTACATTTCCCAGAAGGCTTTGCCAAACACGGAGGTGCGTTCAAGGCAGAATAAACGGTCAGTTAATCATGTGAAATATACCAATAACCTTATTACTGACGCCTAATGGTTAGGTAGAGATGTAGTATAGAAGTTTTTGTCATTTTGTTTATTGTTACTGTAATATCTGTCTAAGTTTCTGTTCTGTTTCTCTCTTTTTTATTGTTTTGTATTAGGTACTCCCAGATGTTGTGATTTGGTGCTATACTTAGCACACAGACATCCATAGAAGCGTCTGCACAGACACTTGCAGACTTTACCAATGATGAAATTTAACTCGTGCGTACCTTTGCGGACATGAAAAGCATAGATTGGCTTTAATATTGTTGAATTAAAATAAACTTCATATCACAGAAGAATGAACAACATTAAAGCAAAATCCTGTAAATGACAGTCATCAATTTGCTAAAGAAATCTTTTAAAATGTATTATTCATCCATAAACTCATAACTTAGTTACTCATGTTGAATGTCATGAGCCATGTTTTCATATAATTGTCACGTGAATATGAAGCAAACTGTTTAACTGTGACAAAAAAGAGAATTAGACTTCCAAAACAAGATCCCCCGCTTCATTGGTAGGTATTCACATATCAACATCCAAATGCCGAACTAGAGGTTTCAGTGCAGTAGTCCACAAACCAGTGCCATTGTTACATCCACTTAATGCCATGCATGGTGCCATTACTGTGTGGATATACCTTTATCAATTGGCTAATAAACATTATCTTTTGTGACATATGCCCTTTGTCTGACCGCTTCAGGCAATATTTTAATTGGCAGTAAAAATAAGAGAAGTAGTCATAGTAGTAAAACTTACTCAAACAGTTTCTCAAAGACAATTTCTTATTCCTACTCCTGACTTACTTTCAGCTTCTAGCTTGTCACTCTTATTGGTCACGGATCGGACTCAGAGACTTAATCACAGACAAAGACATGGTAGACAGGCAGGTAAAAAAAAAACAAACAATAATTTCTATTACAAAAACAGAATATATCAGAACAGGAAGCAGAATCAGAACGAATAACTGGCAGAATAAACAAGAGTCTGACTAAACGGAGCCTTCTAGAGGGCAGACGTAATAAACTCAGAATATCGAATGTCGAAATACTTATGAATAACAACAACAATCAGAGCGCTAAACCCGAGCTTGGCAACACCAAGTCAAGAAGAAGCAGTCGTGTAGTGTTCTGAGGTGAGCTTACATGAAGCCAGGTGAATTGTTTGAGCAAGTGGACCACGCCTCCATCGCAGCTGGACGAGATCAGGTAATCAGAGAATCACTGCACCTGCCCAGAGCTGCACAGACGCCACAAACATCCACCTGAGAGAAGGAAAATAGGGAAAATGAGAGAGAGGGAGAGAAAGAGGGAAGCGACTGCCACTACTCCACCTAAGCAGTGGAGGATGTGACACTTTTAGAGGAGGTTTGACGTTCTTGTCTGGCAGAGATGTTTCAATTCAGCTGAATCATTTAAACATTTTTCAATCAAAAAAACAAAAAAACAAAACGTTCTTTGTTGACGATCAAATGCATCCGATAACATGAATAAAGTGTGGTGTGACCAAATAGCAGAGGGATGAAATTCTGGATCAGAGGACCTGGTCTACATTGATGTTGAACCAAAATCTAATTGCAGAGAAAAGAGACTTCATCTGAAGTTGAACTAAGTATCACAGTTCATATCCATGCTGACCAATAGGATGGATGGTTAGCTGTTGGTGAGAGTGTTTGGAGTTACAAGAACCAGTGACATGACATGAACGGAAACATGACCATCAAGGGACTTGTCACGACCAAGAAAACCCCAAAGAGAAGCACGTATGAATTACAACAATCATGCTGGCTCCTTTGAGGTGGTCTGAGAGTGACTCCCATTCAGGTTAATCCGAAATTGACAAAGTTGCTTCAGTCAGTTGAAACTGTCCCAGCAAGTAGCACTTATTCAGTTCAATAGTCAAGTCAGTGCTCAAGTTAGGCCATTAGAAATGACTTAAAAATGTGTTCTTCACACAACAAAAATCATCTTTGTTTTGTGGACTTCAGACAATTTCAGGACAGCAAGACTACCCCAACCATTAGCACTTACTGTATACACAACTCAAGTCAGTGCTGGTGTTAGAGTAATGTTGGTGACCAGTTTATCAAATGATCTAGGGCCTCATGTACAAACACTTGTGTCGATTTTATACTGAAACCTGGGGCCTGTACTACAAAGCAGGATTTGGGGTTAGCAAAGTAACTTCAGGGTAAATCCTGGGTTTTCAGTCCTATGACGGTGGTTCACTTCTCACCGGGGTACATCACCATGGTAACTTACGCTGAACAGCTAGCCTGCTCTGAAGCAAGTTATGTTGGAGATTGAGTTCACTGGTATAAAATCACCACCCACTGAAAAGCAGTTCTCTCCCATAAAACTTCAGAAGGAGCAGAAAGCGAAGCAGTTCTCAACATAATGGCATCACCATTTATAGAAGACCTGCTACATACTGGAGCATGAAGTGTGGGGGATCACTGAAGAGTGTGAGGGTTTTTCGGGACCGGCAAAACCCCTCAGCGCACCCTGACGAGGATCTCTATGAGCTCCTGTCTTCCTTCATTCATTTTTTTTCCCTGCTGGCTACAGGCAATGTCAAAGCTATTTCATATTTTATTTCCATACCAGTATCACCCCACAACATTAAACTGATTTTAGCTTTAAAGCTTGTATTTGTTAATAAGCTACACCACTTTGAATTATGTTTTTATGTTTGTTCTTCATTTGTTCCCACGTCCTTTTTACACCACCAGGGTTGCAGCTGAAAGTAAAAAAAAATGTCAGATATGCCACAATTATGTACATTAGACAATAAATTAATTAAAAGGAATCCTCTGATGTGCTTATTGTCTGATACGTGCCTTCATGATGGAACAGTGATCATATTTTATTATATTATAAACTAATGAACTTATACATTAACACAGTCAGCAGTTTTCTGCCAGCATTCCTTCCTGGCTTTGGCTGCTGCAACGGTGCTGCTTTTTGCTCCTATATGATGTTTTATATTCTTCAGATTTTGTAAAGATTATATTCTGCTCCTCGGCGGCAAACTGAGCCGCTCTGCAGCCGGACTTGTCCATAATCGTGATTGGTCAGATGCCGATAACGCCACCCATTTTATGTGCACGCGTTCATTCTCACATTAGACAAACCTGGGTTGACTTAACGAGTTGACAACCACCATCGTGTGACCAGGTATCCTGAGTGCCGTTGTTAGGGTTAGTCAAGCCAGATCTCTGAAAGACATCCTAGATATGTTGATTCGTAGTACAGGCCCCTGGCGTACGCTTCAATCCAGAGAACTCCAAACGCACAAAAAAATCCAGATCAATGAAATTGAGCATATGCCTGAATCCAAGCATATTTCCTTTGTACATCCCACTCAGCGTGGAATTGACCGCACATGTCGGAGTACCAGACTCCTCCCTCTCCGTGCCCTCATTTAAATATGCAAATTAGCATAAACAGGGCGGACAGGTGGGATTCCCCTCTCTGCATGATCAGATAACAGTAACAAGCCATGAGTAAGAAAGATAAGAAGAGGAACTTCACCCAATATGAGTTGGAGACGCTCATCAATGAAGTCGAGGCTTGTAAAAATATTCTTTTTGGCACGCTGTCCTCTGGCATCAACAGGAAACGCAAGAGGGGTGAGTGGGAGAGTGTGTGTGAGGCAGTGAATGCTGTGGGGTCAGAGCAGCACACAGAGGTCACAAAAGAAGAGGTCGGACATCAAGGTGGACGTGAAGAGAAGGACTGTTGCCCACAAAGCGTGGCCAAAACAGGCGGGGGAAGAGGAGAGGATGAACTCACCCCGTTTGAGCAGAGAGTTGCCGCTATTGTGGGTGACACTGCCCTCACAGGGGTGGTGGGAGCACAGGTGGGTCACTCGGATCACCCCCAAGGTAAATATATATTGTGTATTTGTGTACCACATATTTGTTTATTATACGGGTCATACGACAATCTGCTCACAGCCAAACAAGATAAAGGTTCTTGCATAATGATGCCAAGATATCAAAGAGGAAATCAAAGACTTTGTCTCATGTTTAATTACTCTATTTATTATTTTCCAACAGACAGTGAGGCAGGAGAAGACTGTGAGACGCAGTCGCAGCCTCGTGTCACAGACGCGGGGGATTCCTACCAGCTAGTAGCGAATGTTCCCACAAGCCTTAAAGCATCAAATTACATTGTTATTTTTTTAAAAACTTTGTTACAATGTTATATGATAATAGAGGAGGAACATTCTTAAAACCACATTTTGAAAATGTTTCCAGGATGTTATTGATGCCTCAGATGACACAATGTTTTTTTCTAAAACATTCCTGATGTGTGACATGTTAACAAAGGTGGAACATTGGCCTTCAGCATTCTGAAAACGTTTTGGGGATGTTGATGTGTTAATGATTATA